ATGCCTAAGGTTGAAAATAAATGATGTTTATAGTGAATGCCCCTATGAATGGTTTTATTTTTACGATTTCGTTTTAATCCAAATGATACGTGTGCTGAGTGAGTGAACATCAAAGATCACACAACGGAATTGCGCGCTCTCTCTCTCCCTACCGTTAAGTAACTTGTGCATTGTTTTACTTACCACCATACTTGGCCACATGTCACTTCACATGTCACATGTCACAAGTTTATACAATTTTTCCTCTCCTATAGTAGAGAATGAGTGGAATTGTTCCTCAGGGGATCTATATCACACTATCTGATGCGATACTGTAGCTGACAGCTGCATGGTTACAATTTTATCTCTAAAAGTATCGATCTTGGAAGTAAAGTAGTTCTTCATAAAGTCATTACTGCTGTGCTGCTGGGAAATGTCAACACCTGTTGATGCTTTATTTTTCGTTAATTTAGCCACTGTATTGAATAAATACCTGGGCTTATGTTTGTTTTCTTCTAAAAGAGACTAAAAGTAATCAGATCTAGCAGTTGTTAATGCTTTTCTGTAGGATAAGCTACTTTCCCGCCAAACAATACGAAATACCTCTAGTTTTGGTATTTGGTACCTCTCTTTAGGGTGCGAGTGTGCTCATTATACCACGGTTTCAGAATGTTTTCCTTCATCTTCCAAAGATGATGATGTCTTGATATCTTAATTAGTGTATGTTTAATTAATCTATGTTTAAAATCTGTCATGAAAACAAAGTAGAAACATAATTTTATATTATATATTATATATTTATATTAGATTTAGACATTTTGTAAAAACTATGTGCATACTTTTTTGAGTGTTGATTATTGTATCTAAAAATAAATAGAAATTGAATTTAATAGTTTGATCTCTGTTGTTAATTGTAACTTTTTATATTTTTGTCATGTGCAAGTAATAGGGCTCCCTATTTTATACCTTTAGCTGAGATAGATTTTTTTATCCTTAAGAAAACTGTAATTATAATTGAATTTATTTAAAGACAGAGCCATGGTTATGGATATGGGAATTGGTATTTTAAAGGGGTCATATGATGCTGCTAAAAATAACATTATTTTGTGTGTTTGGTGTAATGAAATATGTTTATGCGGTTTAAAGTTAAAAAAACACATTATTTTCCACATACTGTACATTATTGTTTCTCCTCTATGCCCCACCTTTTTGAAACGCGTCGATTTTTACAAAGCTCATTGGTCTGAAAAAGCGAGGTGTGCTGTGATTGGCCAGCAGTGTTGGGAAGGTTACTTTGGAAATGTAATAGTTTACAGATTACAAATTACCCTATTTAAAATGTAATAAGTAGTGTAACTTTTCAGTTACTTTATAAAAGTAAAGTAACTGATTACATTTGATTACTTTTTGATTACTTTTAAGTTTCTAATGGATATTTTCAACTAAATAATTTCCAAACATTTATACCAGGCAGGGTTAACCTAACAGTAGTACTCAACTCTGTTTACTGTTAGAATTTCTCAAAATCTTTCATCACTTGAATTAAGATTATATTCATTTAATTTTAAAGCACAGCCACCACAAAACCAGACTTCATAACAAAAAAATTGTTTAATACTGTTTTAGGAATCAAATCTTTGCATAGCTATGACAGGACACACTGGCAAGTAACAATGTCTTGAAAAAAAAAACTTAATCTTAAAACATAAAGCATATTCATAAACCCAAATAGGCAATAAAACAGTTATTAAAACAGTTAATAAAAGAAAAACACTGGTGTCTCATAGCCATCAATGCAATTAGGGAAATAAATTAATTAAATCTGTGTGTGTGTGTGTGCGCGCGTGTGTGTGTGCGTGTGTGCATGAACACTCTTTATCCTCCAAAATTCTCTCTGGACAATAGAGCAACAGATAAAGTGACCACACCACACATCAGTCATCATGGGTTAGGTCACTGGGGCAGTGCTGTTTGTTGTAACGGAGCAGTAAAACCTGTTCCATGTGGTCATCACGCATTCTGTTTTGAGATGAGGTCAAAAGATTGCCTCCATGACTAAAAAGACGCTCCACTGGAGCACTGGAAGGCAATGTGGTGTTGTACTTCATAAAAAAGCCTCTTAACTATGGGAAATGCCTTAAGAGACGTCAGGTTGTTATCTGAATCTTCTAAGTACTTTTTGACTTCATCATGAGTTGTGCTGTCAGATGATGATTTGGCATTATTAAAGACAAAAAAGTTTTCCTCTGACTCGTCAGATTTCACAGAGTTGTCATCTCTCACTGTAGCTTGACTGTGCAGTGGTTCCAAAGCAATAGCTTCCTGCAGTAAGGTTCTCCTCATGTCATCTCTCTTCTCAGGGCTAAGCCAGTTTAAGCGGAACTTTGGCAGGGTTGTGGTCGCCATCTTTGCTTCATGGCTGGCTAACACTGATCCAAAGTGCTGTTCTATGGCCTCACTGATAGTGGTGACAATGTGTGCATTATAAAGCAAATGAGGCATCTTTTCAAATAGCTTTGTCTTGAGGCTAAGCAAAGTAGGGATTAAAAATCCTAGGTAACATTTGCTTTCACCCTGGAGAATGTCAATGGCAACAGCTAGAGGCTTCAGAACCTCAGTGTACTCTTTTAGGAATGCAGACTCTTGTGGATGAAGCCTTGGCACATCAAGCTTATCACAGATCTCCCTCAGCTTTTCTTCGGGGAGCCCTGCAAGTTTTGTGATAGCCCTGAACTCTGAGTTCCATCTTGTGACTGATGGGACAGTCAAATGCATATTGGCAATCTCCTGAATCACTTCTGTGGCCAATGAAGATCTATGTACTTTATTCCAGATAGATGAGCATTTAGCCATGGCACTTCTGTATAGTTTACGTGATGGCCCATTTGATGCTGCTTTGTGAATCTCATTGGTGGCAATTAGATGTAATGTATGAGCAGCACAGCGCTGATGCTGTGGAAGAAAAAACTGCTCTCCATCTCCGTCTTCCTGAAGAAGACAACCGACATTCAAAAATCTCACTTCATCACTGCAATCATCTGACTCATCTTCTCTTAAACCAAACTCACGGAATGCCTTTACAAAATTACTTCCATTGTCAGTCACAGTGGATTTGACTTTGTTTTGAATCCTATATTCTGCATGGATTTCGTTTAGTTTTGCTGCAGCTGCATCATAGGTGTGTCGACCTTTGAGACGTGTACATGCCAATGCTGCAGAATGTCTCTCCAGCGTGTCTTTGTCAATCCAATGGCATGTGACTCCGAAGAAACTGCGGTTTTGTGCTGACCAAATGTCTGCTGTCGTGCAGACAGTGTCCACATTAATAAGCTTGGAGATAACAGATTCCTTCATTACAGCAAACTCTTTGTCAATGCGCTGCATCAGAGTTTTTCGGCACATCACTTTCTTCCCGCCACTGATTCCCTCAATCAATTTTCGGAAGTATTGCTGCTCCACCAATGAAAAGCACTGTACATTATCAACCAGAAAGTTGAACACCAGTTGGTTCACACGTTGCTGTGACACCCTAAGCCCTGATTCTATCCTTGCTTGCTTCAAAGGGGGTTGTGTAGCCACAGGGGTAGAGGAGCTTGCCGATGCATCTTCTATCACATCAAGCTGACTCGATGTTGTGTCTTGCATCAATAAAGTTCTTGGATGTTTCCTCTAAACAGAGATAGTTATTTTTAGTTATATTTAAGAGAAAACACAATTCTAGATCATTATACTGTAGTAAAAACATGTTCTTTTCTAAAAAAAAAACATTAAAACCCATTTGCATCCAGTGGGGACATAATTACTGGTTATAATGACTTATACTGTCTTTTAAACATAAAACTCTGTCTGCATTTGTGATCAGAGAAATGACAAAGAACAAGTGCTAAGGAAAAATTGAAATCGCATCATATGACCCCTTTAAATAATAAAAAAAAAATTAGGTGTGGTGTAAATATGGTTAAATAATGGCTTTTTAGGTTGCCAACCCATCAATCACGATCGACTGGTAGATCTTCATCACTGTCCCAATAGCTCCCAAAAAGAACAGAAAAATAAGTACAAAAATACATTACATTTCTCCAGTCTTTGTACTATTTTTTGTACTTATTATTTATTCATTTTTCTGGGAGCTACTGGGACAGTGATAAAGAAAAATACCTCATCCCTGAGTCTGTAAACAAGACGTTAACAGAGGCCAGAGACGCTGAAGACAGATGCAAAGAGGAGCAAACACTGTATCAGGCAGAGCAAGCTCACTGTTCATTATATATGATTCATTTCAGGTACTTTCACATGACTCGTAGCCGTGTGATATTGTTCTAAATCAGCTTGGCCTGTGGGCTTGTGTCTGCGGCCGAGTCACAACCATGCTGATATAGAACGATATCACATGACTACTTGTGTGATATTGCCTGTGTAAGAATTACAGAACCTCAGACACTTTGATCTTCTGAGACAGACAATACACACACAGTGCATTAACATACAGACATCTGTCTCCACATCTCACTGAGAGAAAATGCGGGAAAACGTCTCTCACATATGCATCAGTTCCGATACTTTGATCTCCTGAGAAACAGACAATGCACTGGCATCTTCAAGACACCCCACAGAGTGGCGGTGCAGGAAAAGCCTCTCTCACATATGCATCAGTTCCTTTTCATCTCCTCCCCCCACTTGATT